TTTTTTTCATGAAAAAAGTGTGCCTTTGCACAAAAAGGTTGAAAAACACTGATTTAGACTCTTTAATTTAGAAAAAAGTCTGATTGAAAAGAGAAATTAGAGACACATACTAAACTGTTAGTATGGTTGAGATGCTGGATGTGGACTGTATCTCAACCATTCTAGCAGTTTAGCTTGATGTGTCTCTAATTTCACTCCCCTTTTGACTGTAGATTAACCAGCTTGTTTTAAAAATGCAGGTGGGGGGGATGTCTTGAACAGAGAGAAAAAGCTGTCAATAGAAGATAATCAACCACATTCAGGCATACCTGTTATAAAAACTGTTGATTCTTTGTAGAGATTTGCAGTTGTGTCAGATGAAAAGGAGGATCACAATATTTAATAGATAATGCCTTTAACAATAAAAGCAAGCTTCTGCTCAGTTCCTTTAATCAATATTTTTCTAAGCTTTCATTTAACTAATGCAAAATGTATATATTTACATATAAGGTATATATGTTTCTTATATCTCTTTTTTTTTCTCCAAAGGTTGGGGCAGAGCTTCTGCTGCTACATATCTTGTCGGTTTTGTCATCCTCTGCATCTGTTTCTGCTTAGCAGTCATAGCATTTTCCATTGATATATTGCGGTTTAATTTCGTTCGAGGAATTGGTGGCTTGCTCTTCGTTGTTGGTAAGCCTGTAAATAAGAGAAATGATTTTCTGACCAAGTATATTTGTTTGTGACTTTCCCAAAATATAATTCTCTGTAGAATATGTAAAAAAAACCCTTTAATTTCTTAGTCAGCTCTTTCCTCTTCTTATATAACTTTTCTTAGATTTCATATTAGCAACAAACAACTGTCCAGACTCAATCAGGTAAACTTTCTTAATTAAAGCTAGCCAGCATTTAGCTATCATTTAGTTTCTAATTTGCCTCTCCCAATTTTATTTTTTAATAGACAAGTATCTTCATTTTTGGATAAACTTTTATATATCTTAGAACATTACTGTATTATTATACATGTATTATTAAAGATATTCCACATGAGTTGCATTGTTTTACAAAAATATATTTTAATACATATGCCCTTCTATATTGTGGACATAATATAACTTAATTTCTTTAAAATATTTAACCATAAAGGCTTCTAGGATTATATGTAGCTAGTTAGTTATGGTTGAAACACAACTAGTTTGAGAATCATTTACAAAACTTCAAACAATTTGGTTTCTATAGTTTGGGTTTATTGGCTTGCATGAATTTAGCATAACTTATAGATTACTATTCAGAAACCATGAGTGTAGTGCAGAAACTCAACTAGACACTTCATCTGGGTCTCACACCCTTCAGTATTTTTATTAATGATTTGGGGGAGGTGGTGGAAGAAATGCCAGCCAGACTTGCTGAAGATAGAATTAGGCATGACTGCTAGTATCCTTAAAGATGAAAGCACAAATCAAAATTATTTTAATAGGTTAAGTCAAGTTTAGCAGCTTCTGATAATTGGAAGTTGTAACTCAACCTTCAGGTTTTTGGAAGGCTGCAAGATACAGTCAAGTAGGGTAGTCGGTTTTTTGTCTTATTTTGGCATGTATGGGGCATTAAGAATGGGAATGGGAAAGGCAAAACACTGCTATTCCCACACTTTGTCCTCCCTCCAAATACAACATGCAAAATTGTGCCTCACAGTCTTGAAGAACTTAACATGGATCCCCCCCCCCCAGCCTCCCAGGATAAAAAGCAGAGATGGAAACAAAAGAATAAAATTGAGCAGAGGCAAATGCAGTTGGTCACAAGAAAAAAAAATCAGTTGTACACAGGAGAAACCTGATTTAGTAATATTGTACGCAAAAAAATACGGAATTGCAGTTGATTGTGCTAAGAATATGCATGGCTGCTGAGAGTCAAATATGGTTTTAAGTTGCATTAATAGAAACATATTTCCCAAATCATAGGTTATGAGTTCCACTCTATTCTGCGTTAGTCATAACCATTCTTGAACATCTGGCCAGTTTTAAGTGCCATAATTGAAGAAGAAGAAGAAGATAAATTTTCAGTTTCAAAGGTTATTGAATTGAACATTACTAAATATATTAAGCTCTGCAGCAACAAGAGCAGAAAGCTTCCAAATGTATTTGGAGGATTTGCTAACAATCATCAGGTGTCTGAGGGAATATTACATAGCAAATAGCCATGATTTTTGTTATCCAAAGTATAAGATGTTTAACAATGCTTTGAAGTTACAGGGAGGCAGTTTCCAATGGGTAAGAAGTGATTGGACAGTGAAATTTAGTTGTGCTGGATTCTTGTTTTGACTAGGAGTATATCTAATGGCTTCTAATTCTGTGATGATGTGTATAACCAGTGTAAATATCACATTAATATTCATTTGTCTAATAGCTATGCACATTAATGTAGGGATGCATCATACATTGTATGTGATGGATGTTTTCCGATGATTAAGGGATTTTTTACAAGTAATTATCTTTGTGTTGATAGCAAATAAAGTCAATAATATAAATTTTTTCCAAGTGTTTGGCAAACAGACTTGAAAAATCTAATTATTGGTAAGACCAATTATTGATCTTACCAATAATTACAGAGGTAGGTCATTGAACCTGGCAGAGTTCAGTCATCGCTCTTGTGCAGGATGATTCTCCCTAAATGTCACAACCTCCACTCCATTTTGTGGGATAGCATGTAGAGAAAGAATGTTGAAACTTTTAGAGATTTAATTAGGAAATTTAATATCTATGTATATAAATGATTATGATAGATACTCTGGTGTCTTGTACTACATGAACAATACCTCATTATTCAATCAATCAATTTATAAAGCCACCAATCTCAAAAAGTGATTGGGCAACAAATATATTAAATAAAAAATGCAATTGCAACGTATTGTTACAATGTAATAATTAAAATGCATGGCAGCCAATTCTGGGCACAGAGACAAGTCTTTAGGACCCTGCAAAAGGCTAGCAGGGTTGGGACCATTCTAATCTTTTCTAAGATTCGCTGCAAATTTCTGTGGTGTAAGATTTTATTTAATGCCTTGCTTTCTTCCTTATTTCCATCCAGCTGCTTTCCAGATCTTAGGCTTGGTCATCTACCCAGTGAAATACACCGAAGATATTATATTGACGGGAAGCAACATGTTCAGCTGGGCTTATGGTTTTGGTTGGGCAAGTACAGTGATTGTGATAGGTTGTGCCTTTTTTTTCTGCTGTCTTCCCAATTGGGAAGATGAAGTCCTGGGTAACATAAAACCCTATAGGCATGATGGCATTTAACCAGTTGGATGTGGACTTTATAGAAGATACTTTTAGGAAATAAAGCAATGTTGTTTCTAACATTTGTTTGTTTGTTTGTTTGAATAACAGTTTATTTTTAGACATTCCTGTTTTCAGACTTATTTTGTTACAAAAAAGAGAGAGAGAGAGATTGCATTCTGAATTTTGTTAACTAATAATAATAATTCCTTTCAGGAATTAATTGTTTTTGGTAAAGGACAGAAGTTTTGGTGAGGTGATTTATTCCAAGATAATATTTTACTGAATAAACATATAAGGTGTTTTTTTTAAAAAATGTCAAACAATTTTAAGCTTTTATTTTTAGTCTGTGGTTCAGAATCCTTATCCAAACATTTATTAATAAAATAATTGTTTGAAAACGTAGTTATTTATACATTTAGTATGCAATCTTCTAAGCATTAAATTCTGTTAATATTATTTTATTCCCTGAGTCCCCTCAGGGAAAAGGGCGGCCTACAAATGCTAATAAAATCTCTAAAAAAAAATTTTTACTGGCATTTCTGTTATAGTAATGCTTCATGGCTTACTTGATACTAAATGAATTAACACTATAGAATTCTATATGTGCAGGTTTATCATGTTAAAGAATTTATGTGACAGCTTCCCTGTTCCCCATTATTGGATGCTTCTAGACAAGGTTAGGTCTGCTCTATTCAGATAATTAGTATAGAGTAGTTAGCTATTTTGTGTTTTTTCTGATCCTCTGCTCTCATTAAAGAAATCTCTTGAGATATTTCATTAATTGGTAGTAATGCCCACAATCTTCCATCTGAATTTACCTACATACTTCTTAACATTTATATATTGAATATGTCTCATAGATTAGGGAGAAGGTAAAACTTTAGAGTTATACTTTTCATTTTCCTTTCTTCTTCTCAATATCTGACAATTTTATTCTCAGCATATAGAGTTAAAGCAAAAACACAACAACCCCCAAAACCAAATAACTATTAGATGGCAAACCTATTAGGCAAAAAAAACCCAAAGCTGGTTTATTGGATAGTTGCAGTTAGAAAGTGCTTTTCTGCTGCCAATTTTCTCATCCCATTTTATCATGACTACACCCCATATGCGTATTTTTAATTCAAATGGCACTGAATCAAAGATGAATCAAAGTTAGCGCCATGTATGGTTGCTTTTTCAAGGTTCTGCAGGATTAGTTACTTGGTAGTGGAATAATAATATAGACTTGCCTTTCCAAATTTAACCATATATACAACGTAGCTCACAGATAGGCATTGTGATGTCTGTGGGTGCAGAGAACAACTTAGGACAACTCCAGTGGGGCTGGTCAGGCTTCTGCAGCATTAGACTTTATTTTTTTAACTAAAATATATGGAATGCTTGTATGTTGTAAAACAAAATGCCAGTCGGTGACATATTTATTTACAAGAATACCTATGGATCTCTACCTATGGACCCCAGAGGGTTCCAAAATAAAAGTGGTACTTGGGTGTAAGTTTAGCAAGAAAAAGACAATGAAAAATCGCAGCGGTACAAAGTATTGATAAAATGGGTTAGGGAATTATGTAGAATAATCATGTCACATTCTTTTAAAAGAACCTCTGTGAGTTGCTGCCTGGTTGTCAACACACACTGTGGTAGCCATTGTGTAAACAGATATGCCTTTGGCAGTCAGAATGTCCATATTCCTCCAGTACACATTCAGAATCCCAACACTATGGATGTTTAGTCAGCAACAGGACAGAGACTTCAGTCATTCTTAATCTTAAATAAACATAGAGAAGATTGCAGAGAATTGAATATCATTTATCTCAGTAGGAAAATTAAATAAACTACCAAAAATATTGGATGGAATCTGGGATTGGAATATGTGAAAACTTTTAATTTACATTAAGATATTTTAATATCATTAAATCCATTGCTAACCTGACAGACGTCTGAATGTATGTTACTAAAAAAAAAGATTATATACTATATATTTTGAATCTTTTGGTAGAAGCTTATTTTGTATTTGGGAAATATTGTATATTCTAATGTATAATTTCAGATATGACTCTTTTTGTATGTTTACAATTATTCACAAAGGTTATCTGCCCACTACTGCATGAATTAATTAATAAAAGTTGCTTAAGTTACAGAAGAAATTCTCATATGAATCCACATTGTTTAAAGTTGTGTTGTATTTTATACTGTATTGGATTGTGATACAACATTTAGTGTTATGAAATATTGCCTATGTGCTCTGTACATATTGCAATCTACAATTGAAGACAGAAATTTTCCATCCATTTTTATGGAAATAAGCCCATTACCTTTATAGAATTTAAAATAAATAAAAGTAGGACTGTTTTGATAACAATGAGGTTTTTAAAGAAACTAATAGAATAAACAGTGTAACCAATTTAATAAGGGTATTTAATCCATACACCTGAAGTTTGTTAAACTCATGTTTACTTGTAACATCAGCTGAAGGCAGAATCCAGCTATTACTAATATTCATTTTTTGAGTAATAAATCAGTAGCAAACATTAGTTCAAAGGACCATGTTTACATTTTGCTAGAATAAGTAGAGTTTCCTAATGTTCCAGCATCCAAGAAGACGAAGTCAAAGATTCTTAAGATTGTACATATATTCCAGCATTTTGGAGTCATATATTTAAATAGGCATTTGAATTCTACATGTTTTATCTCTATAATAAAAAAATATAGATCAATTATATTGAGAAAATACTGGTGAAAAGTTTTAATCGTTGGAGCATTAGTTATAGGCTCGTGTTCTAGTCTATTTGAAGTGGGACTAGATAGATTGCATTACCTAGGTTTGTCAAGAAATTATGAATATACTTCAGTAATCTTCTTACCTGTATATAATTTTATAGTTTTGCTGAATAAAAGGAGATTGTAATTAAATTTTTTAAATTTAATGGGATTTTATTATAATCCCTTAAAAAAAAGAAAACATACCTTCCTGCTTGGTGACATGATAACATATTTCCCGAGAGAAGATGGGAAATCCCCTAGTTAAAAGTACAATGTTTCCATAAAATATGTGTTCAAATTCTGAATTACTAGGCATTTACCTTCAAAAGTCACATTCATTATTCCAGCTGTACAGACTTTCAATTATAGAAAGTAATCCATCCAGGTAGGTTTTTATTCTACTGATAATAGGAAAATAGTATTTAAATATCTCAAATATATTATCTGTCTTTATAGCATTCCTTTCTTCAATGGAGCTGAGAACAACACACATTTCTTCCATATTATGTGATGTATTAAACACTTGAATAATCATTGTTATCCATGGCTGAACAGAGATTTTAATCTTGAACAATATTCAGAAACCAAGTTTTCGTTAAAAATACACTAATGTTCCAAATATATTTTCATTCCATTGGAGCTTCCATTCAAGTTGGCATGATTAAGGCTGTACCTCAAGGCTTACCTACAAGCCCCCTGTGGAAAGGCTGTGACATGGAACCTGCCTTCTTGCAAACCATAGTTCTGTCTCAGAACAGTTTTTGGTATTATTTTTAACAATAAAGGTGGGATCATGTACTAAGAGCAAAGTGAAAATAAATGAAATCCTCGACATGATCAAAATTGCTCATAAAATTTATGTTGCTAAGTGAAATGTTTGTTAAGTGAGTTTTGCACCATTTTATGATCATTTTTGCAACAGTTAAGTGAATCACTGCAGTTGTGAAGTTAGTAACATGGTTAAGTGAATCTGGCTTCTGCTTTGACTTTGCTTGTCAGAAGGTTGCAAAAGCTGATCACATGTCTGGGAAACTGCAACCGTCAAAAATATTAACCAGTTGCTCAAGCATACAGATTTTTTGAACTTGGGTTGCTGCAAGGTCGTAAGTATGAAAAACAGTCATAAGTGCCGGTCACTAAATGAACTGTCACTAAACAAACTTGTAAGTCAAGGTGATTAAATGAACTGTTGTAAGTCAAGGACTGCCTTATATTAGACCATGTGCAGCTTACAGCCCTGAACTGTTGACAGAGAGAACTGGAGGCTACACAGAAACAGAAGAGGGAAGTGTATGGAAAATGTCTTTGTTCCCTTGTTCATTCATGGAGACACAATGACAGTTAAACACTTGGAAAGTATGTCTCTGGTTAGCATCCTTTTATTAAGGGGGCAAGAATTGTGTGGTGTGCTGATGATCTTAAGAGAATGTGGGATGCCATTAGCCAGAGGCGGGCTGCACTTACGTTCACAAGTGGTTCATTGGTTGCGAACGCATGCACGCTAGCTTTGCTCGCATACACTCCATTGGGAGTGAAACAGCTTGAAAGAAGCAAGAGTAATCAACTCAGGCAGCTCTGGTGAGTAAAGCAGGGATGGGGCAAAACTCATCTGGGCAGTGAGGGAGGAGGGAACGTGCTCGAAAGTCCGTTATAAATGGATAGCTTAGCACAAGGGCAGATAGGCGGCCCCAGCCAGCAATCAAAGCTAAGGGTTCGCCCAAACCCATGCAACCACACAGCAGCCCACTACGGCTTTAAGCATCATTTACAAGCAGCCCCTGATAATTCGCCATAGCAGAAGCAGTTTTGAAATACAGTTGGGCATGTCCAAAATTAGTCTGAACATGCAATAATTATATGAACCTTTAGATTTCCCTGACCAAACTCTGCCAAGAATATGTATCTGACTGCATCACATTTAATTAGTTCTTTGCGGATGAAGTCTACCTTCTGGGCTGGCATAGTGCCTCAGTCCAGCCAACCATACAAGACTATAATTGATCAGTTTTCAGTTTGTGGCTCCTCCAGAAGCGAATATACATTTTAAAATTGTATGACCTAACACCTGTTTTCCTTGACTTCATCATGCAAGGAGGCCATTGTGATTGGCCTAATTCAGGGGTCTCCAATCTTTAAGACTTGTGGACTTCAACTCCCAGAGTTCCTTAGCCAGCTGGCTGAGGAAATCTGGGAGTTGAAGTCCACAAGTCTTAAAGTTCCCAAAGTTGGAAACTCCTGGCCTAGTTAATATCAATGCTTCACTAAGATAGGAAAAATCATAACATTAGATGTTCAATAAATACTGGTCTTTTCAGCCTTCTGTAACTATGAATGGCTTTTAAAAGGATTTTGTACTGAGCTTATTTTCTTTTTTTTTAATAATAATTTTTTATTTTTGAATAAACACAAACAAAACAAAAAACACCACAAAACCATCTTCCATTACAAATTGTAGAAAGTGTGTCAATTGGTTACAAAAAACTTTCGTGCATCCCTTCCACAGTCATCACCTATAATTCATATCAAGTTAAATATTTTAAATCAAATATATTTATATATATTACTATCATCATACCGCAACCTTCATTTGACTATAATTGTTTTTATGTCCTTTTATATAAAATATTTTAAAATTTAAAGAAAAACCACATAATGGCATTCCATTATCTATTTGCAATATCATCCAGCAACATTACATCTTTATGACATGTTCTAAATAAAAAATTGATTATATTTAATAACAAAGTTTCTAGACCTCCTTTCCTAATCAC